TCGTCTTTATGTCTAACTGCTAACTGGTATCGGCAAGTAGGTATTAATAATGATGAAATGGTTTTATTTATGGTAGCCAGAAGGAAATTATCGCATCGGGCACCCCTGAATATTATTATCGGTTAATTTACTATAATTTTCGAACAGGTAGACGTGGTTCTGGTGAATTGGCCTCTGAGGCCGACGGGTTTTTAACTACTGCTTCTCCCAACTCGAAACAATTTTCGTCATAATGCCTATTCTACAGACTGTAGAATGTAGATTATTTGGTTCTTCCATCCTGCGGAACCAGTTTGCACTTGAGTCTATACTAATCGAACAGTTGTGGATCATTTCACTCTTTATTTTGTTTCAATCATACAGGATTAGCAGAAAGAGACTGAAAATTTTCGTTTTCAGGTTCATTTCTTCAATCTTTATGAAGTTTACAATTGTTTTTAAAAATATTTCCACTTCAAGTAGCTACTCAACGTATAATACATTATCTTGATTACTTCTCATCGAAGGTGTTTTCGTCATATTGATATTGTAATTCTTCAGGAAGACATTCACAGGTAGTGCGAAGTTTCAAACTGTTGACACCCCATGTATATTAATACGGGATAATTTTTTATCTTTGTTCACTGTACAGGGTTCCGATGTTCGAAACACGAAACTAAACTGAAGTTCTGTAATATATGTAGTATTTTGTTTCCATGCCCGAGAATATAATAACGGCCCCTCGTAAATAGAGCTTGGGAAAAGTCCGTTCTAGTCTGTATATTTTTTGCCGACTCTTGTGAAGAAATGTGCGATGATGTTACGACAGCGACAGTAAATTTAATGTTCTTTTATGTTTCCATTCACCATCGACAATGTCATGATGAGGAACTTGTAATTATTTGTCTTAATTACAACCATTGACTGTCTCTTTATTGTTTTTCCCATAGGTGATGCACTTCATAGACTAATTTCCCATTAGATATCGGAGTCGAAGCTTTGGAATTCTTCACCATTGGAAGTATTCCCAAGATGAAAAAAATCCAACACCTCTCTCTCTCCCAATCCTCCCTAGGTACGCGCGATGTTTCACGAACATTATAGGAATCTCCTTCGTCCGCTCCAAGAGATTTAAAAAAATATTGGTTTGTCATCCAGGAATTTTCCAGTGGGTTTTTGTTCTCACAAGTTTATGGTCATAGTCAAAGATCAAAATACTGTTTCACTGTGACGGGGTGAATTTTAATCTCGAAGCTTCCTTTCATTAAGTAAGAAAGTTTCTATTTTTATTCACCATCAGTCATGAGTCAAGGATATTTCGAATACGTTGTGCATTTCTACGGAAAAAGAAACATTTGTGTTAGCCTGACAGAATTAACTGAAATGCCATTAGTAAATTGTTCTTGGTCTGGGTTTGTGGAGAAAAAATGTATGGCATTTCCTTTGTAGCAATTCAAATTCAAGTCAAGGAAATGAGAAATTGCCGTAATTCAATACAAAGCTGAGAAGCTTGGGGGATTAAAAATAAAAAAAACGTTCTGGTGCATCAATCAATTTAAGCAAGATGGATGAAAACAATTTCAAAACCGTTAATGTTATATATGCAACAAAAAGGAACTGATAAAGCAACACTTTTGTTCTGAAAATTTTTGTCTTTTTCTCTATTTTGACTTATAGTCAGACACAATTGATTTTTTTGGTAAGATATGGAAATTCTACTAAATTGTGTACAAATAATTTTGAAAACTTGCCGGTCACCGACCTTACTAAATTTAACCATCATGATAATATGATAGTGTATACAAGGTGGTTTTAAAGAAAATATCTCGGAAAATATTAATGTTTTCAATTTCAACACCTTTTTTCAAATATTTTTCAAAATTGCATATTTGTCTATCAGAATAAATGGAAATGGTTTTCATCTCGGTTTTCATATAGTTATGATTTTTTTTTAATGAACACCGTCTTTCTACGAGATACTGAATACCATGAAATAATATTTTTTCCTGATCATCAAGATCAATGTATTCGACTTCCTCTCCCATATTCTCACGATATAAGTAGTTGTGTTGACTAGGTACCTGTATGAATATATTTTATACAAATCGAAGAAAACCGGAAAGGAAAAGACGAATGTTCTTGTGCAAATAATATGTAAAATTCCAATTAAAGCAACCGAACAGACAAGAGAGGATATAGCAAATGTGCACTAGCTTCCTCAAACAAATGAGTAATATGAGAAGTAGAACTGTATCAAAAGTGTCTTCTAACTTCCAAATAAGTACACATTATAATCGCGATGTTTGAACCAAATGTTTAGTGGATTGCGAAGAATATGTTGCCACCCAGTTCAACTACTTTCTCGATTTCCAGTGCATTTAGTAATAATTCTGCCAGTTGCAGTTGAGGTTTTACTGAATGTATAAAATATGATTGACGAGGATTGACCGGTGAACTAGCTAATTTTTCATTCATACCAATCTTTATTTGGTAGTCAAAAGTTTCGCAATAAATTCACTATTTTGCAAGTAGGTAGGTACGTACCACGAATAGTTCGTGATAAAGTCGAATTTTTTCTAACTTTCATTTCAATTTCGTACGGATGAACCCTCTATCTTGTGATATTTGCTATAGGTATTTTGATAGATTCCATAAGAAATTCGGATAATTCGTATGCATTATAAAACTCAACTTATGACCATGGCAATAACGTGAAGGGAATAGAGATTTGTGTATTCGGATGCAAGTATGAATTTCTAATCAGAATGCTGATGTCTTTACATGAATTTGAAAACAACCCACAACCTACTGCCATGTTAATAATTTTTAGTCCATTATTGAAACGGATGTTCATATTACGTGTACATGTGGGTACTTCTAATACATTTTGTCACAAGAATATTTCCAAATAAAATTATAATATTCTAAGTGATCACTAATTGAGAAATAAATAAAAGTAGTTGCAACTGTCTTGATTTTTTTTTTTTTCGAAAAATAAAAACAGGATGTATCCCAATTCCCATAAAAGTCCATCTCGTTCCATATCCATATATTATTGAAAAACTAAAAAAAAGTATCCAAAGAAAAATTCAAAAAACCCAAAGTCGGTCAACTTATTCTTCTGTCGAATCTCCGAGTGCACGGTTGCTTGTAAGTAAAACAAAATCATCTTCACAATTTCAATGATACTTTTCGATATAGGGTTTTAGTACATATTTCGAGGCTATATCGGCGCATCTTCAGCTAAATGTCGTGTTAAGGTTCTACAATAAAAAATGATAGTGAAACTATATATAATTTACTCTGTTCCATATATACATTTATGAGGATCTTAATGTCATTAGAAATTGACAACATGATAGTTTTTCTACTCGTTTTTCTACTCCCGAAAAGAGCTGAAAGTCTTCCCATAGTTCGAGAAAAATGTTTTCAATGCAAATGAATTATAAAGAAATTGATTTGCAATGACAAAACAATGAACCTTCATGACAATATTATAATATATTCATGTAGAATCGTATGTCTGATGTATATGAAATATTCTAAAGGTGTGTCATTATATAAATAAATACGATCCTATACCTACTTCCTGGTTCTCACCCATCCACCGCAATGAATCATGAAAATCATACATATAAGTAATGTATCTCCGTTCAAAATCAACATTTAAGGTTATTCCACTTCCACTCTGAGAGAAATATTCCGGGAAATAGGAATCATGGTATTAATGTCAAAGTGAAATTCGTGATTGTATAATACTAATACTAATTTTGATTGTTTTATGAGATTTTCTCGAAGGTCCAAATGATGAATGAAGCTATTGGAATAGTTCACAGCATGTTTTCAAATATTTTGAGAAGATACAAATTCCTTCAGGGTATTTCAATATTTTAACAGAATTCAAATATATCGTAATCATTTAAAAACTCTAGAACTATTTTAATACAATTTTCTGATCTTGAAGTTGAAAACTAATATTCTAGGAGTTAGGGTATTCAAAAACTAATTCTGATTGTTTTATGAAATTTTCTCGAAGGTCCCAAATGATGAATGACTATTGGAATAGTTCACAACATGTTTTCAAATATTTTGAGAAGATACAAATTCCTTGAGGGTATTTCAATATTTTAAAAGTATTCAAATATATCGTAATCATTTAAAAACTCTAGAACTATTTTAATACAATTTTCTAATCTTGAAGTTGAAAACTAATATTCTAGGAGTTTTCAAAAATTCTCTATACCTATATATCAGGGTATTTAAAAACTTCGGATATATTCAAATACACTACGAAAATATTCGCAAAAAAATAAGTATTTCAACTAGTATTTGACAACTCGTAAGTACAAATAAATAAGAACAATAAAAATACTTCTTTACTCGGGGGAAAGTATTTATATACTAATGGTTATACTGAAATGAAATATTCGAGCATTTTAAAAATAAATCCTTCTTCAAGATGGAAATATATCTATTTAGCAAGAAGTTTTACAGAAATATTTTGGAAAAAATGTCCCTTAGAGGCAATTTTTCGACCTATATTTGAATGAGCTGTTTATGTATACTTGGATCCCGAGTTAACGCCTCGGCACCGAGTAAATGTTTATTTTCATTTTCAGATCCACAACTCAGTACTCTCAGACATTTCTGGATATGTTTGCGTATATTAATCGGGCATGTTTTGGATTTTTTTCTATCTGACTAGTCTCCTTAAATTTTACCCTGCATGCCTGCATCATTTTATTAAAGATTTCACACCAAACATTCTCCATCAATTTAAAGCATGTATTTCGTATCGTTACCATAGCAACTGAACAAATTTCTTGTAAATTTCTTCCTTCTCCTTGGGGGACAGAGAGCATGAAATTACACTGGAAATTTTTTGACGTTTATAGGTTAAATGACATCTACATTCAACTTCAGATTACTTGGAGTTCATTCTATAAGTCAATAAATAAAAATCATTTATCAACAGTTTACCATGTAAACTCTTGTGATATTATAAGTGATAATTCACTTACAGTGTCCTATGATAGCTAGCAGGAAAGCTACCGTTGCCTTCCTCCACATTATGCTGTCAAGTCCTGGGGGTTCCCAGAGGGGTAACTTCTCTACCACCGCACTCACCGAGGCAATTGAAACGGAACACCACGGAAGAGGAGCCGAAAAAAAAATCTGACCGGCAGACGGAATAATTACTGAGCTTTTGAGTGGGCCGCTCTGGAGCCCTGATCTGGGCTTCAGGAATGCAGGTAGAATCGGGCAGGTGCGACCACCAAAATCCGCTCTAGACCGCTCTCGTGTGCTCTTGGGTACCGAGTGCGATAATTGAATGAACCGAACCGGAGGTCTGTGCCAGCAGCTTATGAATGAAAACCCGTATCTGCCTAGTGGCTACAAGAATTCAACACTATCAGGACCGGCTCTTCGGAAATTCACCGAACGTAAGTGATAGTACTTCAAAAAGGAATATTCTCAGATATCGCTGCTCTAATTCAATAGTGGGATATCTTTAAGGAGTATCATTTCGAGAAATCACTGATTGAAGTCTTATTTCTGCACTGATAATTCCACTATATAACAAAAATTTTTGGTATTACTGGTGATTGATGCAATTATATTTGTTTTTCCATACATGATATAGATTTCATGTAAATTTCAATATCAATTGAGTTTTTGAGAGATATACCAGTATTGCACTGGAATTTGTTGAAAGATTTGAAAAATATCTCTTTATAATCGTTGCAGTAGGTAAGTGAGTAAACGTTTGCTCAATGTGTTTTTATTGGTGAAAACAACATTGTTAAAATAAACAACAATTTCCTTCAGCAGAACCTGAAGCTTTCAATTCCCGGTAGAAGGTTTGATGTTTCATAGGAAGATGTTGTTTTTTCTTGAGGGAAATGGAAGGTGCTCCACTATAAGCCTCTGATAAATTTGCGCAGACTCGTGACTTTTATTCAACAGAAAACAATAATTACTTTCCTGGCTAGATTAGATTAGATTAGATTTAGAATGGGGCCTTCGGGCTATCTGCCTCCACACCGCGACCTTTTCAGATCTATTGTGTCTGCCCTCGAAATCGATTAGAGTTCTTCGGCTAGCCCCGCCTCCTCTATGAGACTCCATAGGCTTGCTTTTAGATCCCCTGTGTATCTTTGGGCTCCTGGTCTTTCCTCACCCAGCGTAAGGAACCTTAGTCTTGACAAGTCCTCACAGTGGCAAAGTATGTGTAGGTACTGCTGTTTCCTCCTCTTCCTGACAGAACCTGCACAGCAGTTCTTCAGTCAGACCTGGCTATATGCCACGACGAATATTGAATAACATCTATTGAACATTTTTTTATGTTCTGGTTCCCACGAAAAGGGATATCCATCGTGAGAACCAAGGGAAATAAGGTAGGAATTGGTGTTATTCTTAAATTTCTGGAGGTTATATGTCTCAGGAAAAAAAAAAAGATAGTACTTCAGTTTGCTAAGTTGGGCTCCTCGTAACTTTTCGTCACTTCGATCTGTGTATTTTTGTTACTTATGGCGGATTTCTGCACTCCGCATTTTCATTAATCTGCAGTTCCACAATCATTAACGATTTCACCAGTAGAAGTAGAAACTTGGTATTTCCGTTCAATCATTCATGCACTCAAATCGAATTTTATCTTTCATTAACTTTTCGCTGAAAAACGAGAGCCCAAAGTATTCCCAAACCTCATTGTCAGATTGAGTGGATCAAATTCATATATATTTCAAATTTATATATATTTCAAATTTATATATATAGTTCAAATATCACATAACACATGTGTGAGGTACAAAAAATCACGTGATACATTATGGACGAATGTGCATTCGCTCGTAGAAAAGGTTAGGTTAGGTTCCATGTGAGTCTGGCGAATACCACCCCTCCATTGCGACCCCAGATGGTTCTATTGTGGCTCACCCCTAGAGCTCGCAGGGACACTTAGAATTATTAACCCTATCGGGGTCTCGAGAGGAAGGGAAAACATCCTTGAAAGCCTAAATCGCTATAGAAATGATCACATCAGTGGGCTGACGCCATGCTATTTCGTGGATCAGAATAAAACTACCTGACCAAACTCCAAGCCTCCACAAATTTATTGCGAAAAATAATCATCAAGATTTGGGCACTTCTGATACAAGACCAACTTTCATCTCTTAACGACAAAGACAAGTAAAAGTGTGACTTGCGCAGGTGCGATTCTGTCAGAAGTCAGACATACAATTTATTCTTCTAAATTTTTCAAAATGTTGAAAATTCACAAAATTCTAGTTGCCTGTTCAAATAAGACTTTGGAAACAATATAAACAAATTAGTCTTATTTCAATAATGTGAGCTGTGGAGGTTACAACACCAATATTTTCATCAGGCTTAGTACGCTGAGGACTATGTTTGGATCATGAAGAAGAGTTTTTAGTTGAAAAAGGTAGTGCATCAAGGCATCAAAGTTCATAAAAAAATGTAATGACCGTTAAGGAAGCAACAGATTAATCAAAAAGTGGTATGGTGCATGAACTCACCTTAACTCTACTTGGGTGTTGATGATGTTGTAGATGATGAATTTGAATTGTATGGACCGTCGAATTTTGACCTCAGCAGAGTTCAGGTAGACTTTTTCTAGGTGATGCAACCTTCGGCGAACTAGTACGTTACATTAACATCAGTGTCTTGTGAAAAGCTGTTTGTTGAGATCTTCAGCTCTGTTTTGCGAATGTTTGATAAATCCCTTCGCTTGTCATTGTACTGAAGTTGCTCTCCAGCAGAAAAACTTTTCATTCTCTCCTATTTCTAGAGTTCTGCTATGAGGTGAAATTTGCGTGACCAACAGGAAGTCTAAAAACTCATAGGATGCGCCTTTCTTAGTCAACTGCTTCCTTCTCTCTTATTCCTTCAACCAACATAAGTCTGAATTCGTTGTTTTTTCTCAGTTGCATCAGCTTTCAAATCAATCTTCAAAGTAAAAACGAATGATCTGGGGATTCAGGTGCGGCTAGATCAGAACTAACCTGTTTCGTTTCTGTATTGGAAATACTGACTCTCTCTGTGTCATCTCATTTGTTGTTATGGTTGAGATGGAAACAACCATTGACGATCAAGAAAGCTGCTCTATTTTGTTTTCGGTTTCCGAGAACATCTTTGGGGAGTATGCTTTAAATCTTCGACCAGGTGCATTTTTTCAGATCCTCTATAATGTAGTTTTCCGTCACAGAAAGGTTCTGGTCCGAAGAATAGTGTCAGTATCGGTCGAATCAAGAGATTTTCTAGTTCCAGACTGATCGAGGCTCAAAGGTGTAAGATCAAAGATTCTTCAGAGCATGACTGGAAGTGAATTCATAGAATGCATTTAATATACAAAGACATTCCCAAATTGAATATTTTTGTATTTTCTGAGAGAGATTCAACTGGATTAACACTAGTAATGATATTTAGTAAACAGGATACAGTTAACTGAAGTAAATCTAGTCACTGAATCAGTTCAAATAGAGAGCATTTGGTGAAACTCTGATGGGGCACATTCTATTTGGGACCGACCCTGTATGTTAGGAGGCGTGACCAGCTTCCCGAGAGAACTCTCATTACTATACGCATTTTTACTTGCAAGAATCAAGGAACCGACAAATTTGGTTGGATTCTGTTATCTACGCTAATAGTAACCGAAAAATGGATACCAAGAAAAGAAATGGATTTCTGAAGGGAAAGTTGTGGAATAATTGGTACCGAACAGGTAGATAAAATTGATTTACGACGTTCAATGACAGGTCCAGAAGACTGCAAACGGACAGTCGTCTTCAGAGATCATGTCGCACATGGACGATGTCAGCTCCCTTGATCACTGCTGCAATAAGAGCGCTCATACCGTCCAACAGCGACATGTTCGCTGAAGACGACTGTACCTTATATACTTTCGCGATATATGGTTTGGAATAAAAAGGAATATAATCAACGGAAGATACTTATTTATGTGGTCCTCTGGAGCGCAGTGTATATTTTTCGCTATAATTTTTGGCCTATAGCCCAGTTTTGTCGACTGCATATCATAAGCCGCATCTGCGAATGCTTCATTGCTATATAATTTCTTGGCGAATGCCTTGCCTTTCTCAATTAATGATTAGGTAGTGCAGATAATGAATGATTATTTTATTGTCTTCGGAACTTCCTACCAATCCTACCTATGCATACAAAAAAGTTTCAGGTTCGTTAAGTATGTGGAAGATAGTCAACATTGGATTATACATTATTTTGAAAAAAAAACTTCAAGTGTGTACCTATACTCATACGAATTTTGTAATTCCAGTCCCTTATTTAATTTGAATCTGTTGGGTTATGTCTGTTCGAATTGTAGGTATAAATAGATCAATGGATTTAACAAAATGTTATGACCTTTTGTGCAGATGTCTACTGTTTACTCCAAAATGTAACTTCACCTTGTGTTCTCAGACACTATCCTATTTTGCGATGCCGATTTTAACCTCGCAATTTCCCACAATAAAAGAAGTTATTAATTTTCATATCGAACATCTGTTTCATACAAGTTGAAACTTGTTTGGCTGCTTTCGGTTTAGCGGAGGAAGCAAACAGTGCAATCTGACACCAATGAGAGCATATTATATCCTGGGCACAATAAGCTGCCACCCGAAATTTGCAAAAACTTCTAGGAAATATGATCTATTGTTATACGAGGGCATTTGTTAAATGTCACTTTATTCTGTATTTATTGAAAAATCTTCGGACTTTTTTCCACTTTACTACATCAACTTTAGGAGTCGGGAATTCGTCAAATGACTAAATGAATAAGTTCCGAAAATATGTTGAAAAAATGTTGAAACTACAGCACAGCATATGCGTCAAAATATTCGAAATCTAGTCAAAATATGTACGGTAATTTGGGAAGTACAATGCTGTTTGACACCATTTTTGTGTTTTTTATTAATTTGAATGCAAGTTTTGAAAATTTGATGATAGAATGTTGTTTTCGATTACACAATAATTCATTACAGTTTTGCTAATTTGGCCATTAGAGCGTTAGTTCGTTAGTTGCATGGATAGTGGGAAAA